GAGTGGCATCTGGGGTCTTAAAAGCTTGCAAGTGGCCATCTAAGATGCATCAATGGGTCCCAACCACCTGGAGTAAAGAAGAATGAAGAACACCAAAGACACAAGGAAAGTATTAGCCCAAGAGACAGAAAGGGCCACATAGAGCAGAGACTACATCAGCCTGAGACCAGAAGAACTAGATGGTGCCTGGCTACCACAAATGACTGCCCTGACAGGGAAAACAAGAGAGTCCCTGATGGAGCAGGAGAAAGGTGGGGTGAAGAACTCAAATTCTAGTAAGAAGACCAGACTTAATGGTCTGACTGAGACTGGAGGATCCCCGGAAATCATGGCCCCCAGATTCTCTATCAGCCCAGAACTAAAACAATTTCCGAGGCCAACTCTTCAGACAGGGATTGGACTGGACTATGGGACATAAAGTGATACTTGTGAGGAGTGCGCCTCTTAGCTCAAATAGATACAAGAGACTAAATGGGCTGCTTCTGTCCGGAAGTGAGATGGGAAGGCAGAGAGGGTTAGGAGCTGGTTGAATGGACATGGGCAATCCGGAGTGGAAAGGAGGAGTATGCTGTCATGGTATGGGGAGATAAATTAGGGTCACATAACAATGCATGTATAATTTTTGTATGAGAGACTAACTTGAAATGTAAACTTCATTTAAACTACAACAATAAAAAAATAAAAATTAAAAAGAAAGAACTCTCAATTTCCTGCCCAAAACTCTTCTGTTTTCCATCCCACCCAACCGAAGTCTCCTCCATTCATTAATGGTAACAAACCTAGGTATCCTTGATGTCTTCCTTCAAAGACCTAAATGTAAGAGATAAAACTCTTAGAAGAAAATATAGGGGTAAAACTTCAAGACCTTGAATTGGGCAATGGTTTCTTAGTTATGACACCAAAAGCACAAGCAATAAAATAAATTGGACAACATTAAAACTATAAAATTTTTGTGCTTAAAAGGATACCATCAAGAAAGTGAAAAGACAACCCACAAAATGGGAGAAAATATTTGCAAATCATGTATCTCATAAGGGACTTGTATCTAGAACACATCAAGGACTCCTACAACTCAATAATAAAAATACAAGTAAGCCAATTTAAAAATGGGCAAAGGATCTGTATACACATATACAAATGAGCACTAAGCACTTGAAAAGTGCTCAAAATTATTAGCCATCAGGCAAATGCAAATCATAACCACAATAAGATACCACTTTACACCCACTAGGCTGGCTATAAAAAAAGATAGATAATAACAAGTGTTGGCAAGGATGTGGAGAAATTGGAACCTTCATACCCTGCTGGTGAGAATGAAAAATGGTACAATCACTTTGTAAAATAGTCTGGCACTTCCTCAAAAGGTCAGAGTTACCATAGACCCAGCAATTCTTCTCCTAGGTATATACCCAAGAGAAATAAAAACATACATCCACATAAAAATTTGTATACCGATATTCATAGTAGCATTATTCATTAACAGCCAAAAAATGGAAACAATCTAAATGTCCATCAATAGACGAATGGATAAACAAAATGTGGAATATACATACAATGGAACACTACTCAGCCATAAAAAGGAATGAAGTCCTGATGCATGCTACAACATGGACGAACCTTGAAACTCTTATGCTAAGTGAAAGAAGCCAGTCACAAAAGACCACATATTACGTGATTCTGTTTGTATGAAATGTTCAGAACAGGCCAAGTCATAGGAGAAAAACGATTGGTGGTTGCCTAGGGATGTGGGCATTGGAAAGAAAGGGGGAGTGATTGCTAATGGGTACGGAGTTTCTTTCTGGAGTGATGAAAATATTCTAAAATTTATTATTATGGTTACACAACTCTGTGTATGTACTAAAATCCATTCAATCACGCTTTCAGGAGGTAAAATTTGGATATGTGAATTATATCTCAATAAAGCTGTTATGAAAAAGAAAGTGTGTTATAAAAAAGAAAGTGAAGGAAGGAGGAAGGAAGGGAGAAAGGGAGGAAAGAAGGAAGGGAGTAAGGAAAGAAGGGAGGAAGGAAGGAAGGGAGGAAGGAAGGGAGGAAGCAAGGAAGGAAGGGAGGGAGGAAGGGAGAGAGGGAGGGAGTGAAGGAGGAAGGGAGGGAGGGAGGAAGGAAGGGAGGAAAGAAAGATGAACCCACTATGCATTTCTCTTGCCCTTCAAGTCCACTGTGCAGCTTCCTGAAGGGCTGGCCCCAGTATTAACCATCTCCAACTCTCAGTAAGCACCTAGGAGGGACTTGCATGCCTGCCTCAGCACACAGGTATTTCTCCACTAAGGCCATGCAAACTAGCCTCATAGAGGAAAGAGTAAATGGCCACTGAGTCTTGGAAAAATGAAGAAGACAGGCCAGATAATGCCAAACATTCCGGTGGGAATAAGAAAGCGAAATTCCCTGAGCTCCATTTTAGGATCAACAGGAGACTCTGTGAGAAAGTCCCATTTAAAAGATGTGCTAAGGTCCGGATCTGAGTGTGTCTCTTACCTCTGTGGAGAACTTGCCTTTGCTCTTCCGAGCTGGACCTACAGGAGAAGTATCAGGACCTGATTTCCTATCAATTATATCACCAATAAGGAACCCTAGTGGTGCAGTGGTTAAGCGCTTGGCTGCTAACCGAAAGGTCAGCAGTTCGAACACACCAGCTGCTCTGCAGGAGAAAGATGTGGCAGTGTGCTTCCATAAAGATTGCTGTTGTTAGGTGCTGTCGAGTTGGTTCAGACCCATAGAGACCCCCTGCACAACAGAGCAAAACCCTGCCCGATCCTGCGCCATCCTCACAGTCGCTGCTATGCTTGAGCCCGCTGTTACAGCCACATGTCAGTCCATCTGCGGGTCATCCTCTCTTCTACTGACCCTCTACTTTACCAAGCATAATGTCCTTCTCCAGGGACTGAAGCCTCCTGATAACATGTCCAAAGTATGTGAGATGTAGTCTCGCCATCCTTGCTTATAAGGAGCATTCTGGTTGTACTTCTTCCAAGACAGATTTGTTCGTTCTTTTGACAGACCATGGTATATTCAATATTCTTTACCAGCATTACAATTCAAAGATTACATCCTTGGAAACCCTATGGGGTGGTTCTACCCTCTCCTATAGGGTCGCTATGAGTTGAAATCAACTTGACAGCAACAGGTTTGTTTTTTGGTTTTGGTCTTGTTTTTTTTTTTTGTATCACCAATGGATCCATGAAAACTATAAAATTAAACATTAAATAATACAGCACTCTAGCAACTTAAGAACATCACTTAAAAAATTTATAACCTTCAACATAATTACATAATCAGTGCAAGAAAGCCAAAACTCCACCAACTTTTTTTTTCACATGAGTTTCCACAATCAAAGTCTCATTAGCATTCCAGGGGAAAGATGGATACAGCCACAAAAGAAAGGAAAAATATGTGGGGCTGGGAAATTGCAGAAACACAAGAAATTGTGGCATGCTCCCAAATCAGGTTTAACCTCTACCGCTAGACTGTACACACAAAGGAGGGAATGTGCTAGAAGAATGCAAAGAATTTGCTTGTGGCTTCATGAATCTCTTCCCTGCTAAAATGGCACCTATGAAAACTCATTTCTGAAGAGCAGAGTCCCCTGCGTTTGAATGCCTACCTTGCCACTCTTCCTCGCAGATCCCCCAAGCCGGAGAGTTGTCGCATCTCCAGAGTCTTTAAGGCAGAATTCGTTCCGTAGCTAATGTTGTCCCGGGCCCGGATCTGCTCCTGGAGTACCTGGGCAGCACAAAACACACAAGGAGAGGCACCTGTGAACTCACACGCTGCCACAAGAGCATTTCATACTCGTGGCAAAAGTAAGAAGGTTTAGCTTGTTTTTTTAAAATAAGAGGCTCCTTTTTAACATTCACTTGGTATACACCTATGCAGAGAACCAGAATTAACGGTGACTACGTTTTTAAGGCTACTGTGAGCCTTATATAAGATAAGGAACGTAAAGCATGAACGTAAAGCACTTAGCACAACGCCTCGTATACAGGAAACACCCGGGAAATGCTAATCATTCTTTCTAGTACGTATTGGATAACAGACTATTTATACTGGAACCTGAAAGTGAATGAGTGAAACAACTTAGGCATGAGAAATATTATTTAGCAAAGGGGATTTTCTGGCGGTGGGAGGAGAAAGCAAGCACGCAGATTATGAGAATTTCATGGGGGTTAGGGAAAGAAGAAGGAGCCCTGGTTGCACAGTGGTTAAGCACTTGGCTGCTAACCAAAACAAAAGGTCAGTGGTTTGAACTCACCAGCTGCTCCACAGGAGAAAGATATGGCAGTCTGCTTCTGTAAAGATTTAGAGCCTTGGAAACCCTATAGGGCAGTTCTACTCTGTCCTACAGGGTCGCTATGAGTCAGCATCAACTTGACGGCAACAGGTTTGGTTCTTGGCTTGGTTTAGGGAAAGATAACCTCTGAAAGCTTCACATTTGTAGTCCCTTAGAGGAGTGACATACACGGGAATCTGTGAAAAGGGTACCCAAAAGAAAGTAACCAAGAAGCATTTATTGACTGATGTGAAAGTCCAAACGGCTCTATGAGAAAGAAAATGAAAGCAGAACTGCTTGAAGATCAGGTGAGCAAACATGAGCATGGCCTTGTGGAGAGTCCACCTCAGGAAATCTTCAAAGGAGTGGTGAAGATGATCAGGACACCCCAATGATTACTGAGCACATGCTATGTATGAAGTGCCTGGCACCGTGCTACGTGCTGACCAAATCCACACAACAGCCCTGTGAGGGGGGTACTCGCTGGCCCCCCAAGTCACAGAGGAGGAAGAGACACAAAGAGCTAAGATGGTATGCCCAAAGTCACACAGGAAGTAAGCATTAGCCAGAACTTGGCCCAGGCCACCCGGCTGTAGAATCTGAGCTCTTCTGGGAAAGAAGATGAAGCATGAGAGAGAAGGAGAGGAAGAGAGGAGAGAAAGTGTGAGAGAAATTAGAAAACTAGAGTCCTAGGTAGTAGTCCTAGCTGCCACTGAATGGGTCCCACGTGCGTGGTCTCATTGTACACCAGACACTGTTCTACACACTTCAGGTATGCTAACACACATAAGTGTTAACTCATTTAATCGTCACAACACCCTGTGAAGGAGGTACTATGATTCTCACCATTTTACAGATGGTCAACTGTAACCGACAGTCACAGTTAATAAGTGACAGAGCTGGGATTTGAACCCAAGGAATCTGGCTCCATGACTGTGCCTTCAACCACTACACTACACTGCTTTGGTTGTTCTTCATTTGTCCTTTCATCTCACTTCATGTTTAGAATGCATTTTTCTGTGTTTGTTTCCTTTCTCCTTCTTATTTCGACTGGTTTGATCAGGTTCCATTCAGTCCCTTCTCCCCTTGTTAACTGGGGAAGCTCCTGGGCTTTGCCATGTCATGAATGGTTATCATCCCTTTCCCAGTGCTCATAATCATATACACAGCTCTACTTCGAAAATAAAATAATTTCGTTGCCAGGAGGCTCTATTCCTGCACAACCCCATGCCCCCAAATGTGAGACATTCAGCTCCCCTCACTTCTACCCTCTTTCTCCCTTTAACCCGGGGACTCACCTGGGAGGATTTTACTTTTCTCCTCTCTTGTCCTCCCCTCTACCCCAACTAGGCTTTGCTAAAATAACTTGATACTTCTAGCTGGACTATAATAGAATTTCGTTTGCAGAATGTCTCTTCTATTTCAATAATCTTTTCTTTTTTCTTTTAGCACTTCTGTTATGGAGCCCAGGTATTAATCAACATCCACTGAAACGAAACTATATATGCCTTTTTTTTTTTTAAGGATTATTGATTAGTTTTGCTGCTGCTTCTATTTTCCGCTATCTTGAGGTCTCTGTTCAGATTCAGTTGGATTTTGGTTAGAGTCCTTTCTCTAGCATTTTCCTCAGACACTTGCATGAAAGCCCCTGAATCCCTGCATGTTGATAATCACCCGTCCTTCATCCTGATAAATTGACAAGGTACAGCTGCTCCACAGGCGAGAGATGTGGCAGTCTGCTCCCGTAAAGATTCCAACCTTGGAAACCCTATGGGGCGGTTCTATTCTGTCCTATCGGGTCTCTATGAGTCAGAATCCACCTGACAGCACACGACAACACAACAGAATTCCTGGTTTAAAGGCCTTTCCTCTCAGTGAACTTCGACACTCCAGGGTTACTGACAAGAAGTCTGATGCTTCTTCCTCTATAAGTAACTATTTCTTTATCTCTAAAAGCTTGTAAGATTTTCTCTTCATCTTTGGAACTCAGGGATTTTATCAGGATATGCCGAATTGTTCTAAGGGCTGCGCTTGTTCTTCCTTCCTCTGGCTTCTGGGTCCTCTCAGATGGAACGTACTTTTCTCTCTTTGCTCACTGGAGTACCTGAAGTGACTGGTCCTGAATGTACTAGAAGGAGCTTGTGAACTGGAGGTGCAGCCAGTGACAACAGAGCCGGGCTCCCCTGAGGTGCCAGGAGGAAGCCTCTGCATCCTGCTCTCCACAGCAATCCCAGCCCAGAGGCAGCGGGGACAGAGCCCACCTCTCGGTCCCTCCTTGCCTCTATGGGGGCCAGGAGACTCCAACTCCTAAACCGTGGGGTCCAGGACCTCACTCACAGCAAGCCTGGCTGGGTCTCTGCTGGCACTCCAGGCTGCCTGTCTGTCTATCCTGGTGTTCAGGAAGGTGGTACTAGAATTGAGGGCAGAGTGGAAGCAGGTACAGTAAACCACCATCTTCCTATTACCTCTGGCACCAAGCTAGGGATTTCTTGAGAATAAATTCAACTCCATATTTACCTGCATATGTATCTACGTGTTACTATTTATTTCTAGAAATTTGGTGGTTTCTGTTGTACTGACAACCTGAGGTCCAATTTGCAAATGAACAGGCAAGCACTGTTAGAGACAAGGCAACTATGCTTACATAAATCGCTTTTGTCCTCCCGTTTCTCAACTATTTTTTTCCTTTCTTTCACCTGCCTCCCTTCCTTTCTTTTTTTTTGAAAGTATATATGCATAACTTACATCCTTTTTTTAGGATCTTCCAACTTCCTAGTAAAAAGCAGAAACTAGGAACATGAGTATTCTGTGTGTTTCTTATTGTAAACCTGGTTGGGGCCACTATGGATGGAGTGAAGCAACAGTAAAAAAGGTATTTCACTTAAAGGAATTTGGAACTGCAAGACTTATCAATTGTTTGCTACAGTATCCAGCTTTTTCTGAATGAACCTGCTGTATTAAGAGGAATGCAAACCAGCTACAATCACCTGTGAATGACAAAACGTTAGTCAGCTGAACACATTCCTGCAAGAAAACTTCAGATCTGACTAATCTGGTTCTGACACTCTCCCACTGATGAAAAGACACTCACTCTCTCGCTCTTGTTGAGATTAATGGAAAGTATTCTTCTTTTTGTATGTAATGCTTCAAACCTTGTTTATAACAAGGCATAAAACCTGTGGTTCTTGAACTCCTTCGGGATTCGTAAGGATCAGTCAGGTGGCTTGTTAAACACACATTCCCAGGCTCCACCCTCAGAAAACCAAAGCTAGGGAGTGGGGCCCCCGGAGTCGGGGTGCTCGGTAAACACCTGCAAGGCGGTCCGCAGACCACACCGGGAGAAATGTTACACTAGACGCTACATGAATAACGAAGGCTCTAGCACCAATCCGATTTCGTTTGGGTTGTCTCACAATTAAAAAAAAAAAATCATTAAGCAAAGAGAATGCACAGCAATTCACATAAGAGAAGCTAAAAATACTTCACCAGCACATTTTCTAAAAGGTTCCATCTTATTAGTAAGCAAAGAAACAGGAAATAAAAATCATACTATTTTCACCTATTAAAGAAGCAAAATTTTTTTAAACTTATAGTGCTTTTTGGAAGCATACAAAACACCCAAAAGGCACCGCTGGCCCTTCCTGGTAGAACGTTTCTGCAGTGATACAGCAAAAGGTAACAGGCTAGAAAATGCTCCTAGCCTTCGACCCAGTAGCTCAAGTTCTTAGCATTAACCTTAAGGGAAATCATAAGAGAAATGATGGACATTTATCCACAAAAATGTCTTCGCAGTGTGATACACATAAGGAGTATTTTACGAGGTATCCACAGAGTGCGTTGCTATGCAACCACTGCAAAAAAAAAAAAAGAGGCTCATGGAGGGCTTTTAAAGACAGGGGAAAAGCTATGATAATAGAATACTTAATATTAAGCAAAGAGAAAGAGTACAAAATAAATATACAGCAAGATTCCAGTGATGTATTAAGATGTTTAAAACAAAACTAGAATGTTAACATTTTGTTGCTCTCTAGGGTGGGATTATCCTTGGTTCCTGGTCTTTGTATTTTCCACAATGAGCGTCCATTACTTGTATAACCAGGAAAAAAAATGTGTTTCTTTAAAATGCTTAGAAATAAGACAGAAAAGCCCATTTAATTTCAGAATTCTTATGCAGATGAATAAGGTATTGTATTAGAAGTGCTTTGAAAATACAGGAAAAAATTATACATGAACATAACACAATATTCATGTTACTGAAAAGTTACATGAAACCAGAAGGCATTAGAGAGCTTACTATTTGAAGGAATTCTATAATGAAGTCTTAGAAAGATAATCTCTCTGTAAAGTCAGTAAGTGTTCCCTCATTTGTCATGTTGTAGCAATATATCATCACGACAGGTTTACTTTAAAAAGTGGACACCTTTAAGTATCAGCACGTCTCCATTGTGGGCAA